TATATATATATATATATATATATATATATTATGTATTATAACCAAAATGTGACTGTATTTTATAAAATACTGCTCCACTCGAGCACAGCTGAGACAGGTCACTTTGTAAAGGCCAGTTTTATATTATTGGATACAGTAACATAAGTTGCACGTGCAGCGCATCATTGTAAGTTCTATAATGTTAGTCAGACACTGCTGAAAGGTCAATATAATAAAAATAATAATTTTTTTATATATGTATAATGTTATAGGATTTAAGCTATGTAGGCTAAACATTTGTGGTTTTGTATTATAATTTGTAATAATTCTAGAACAAAAAAAAACAATTTAGATTTACATCCTACATTTTTAGGGTGGTTACAAGGTCGGTCAAATTGACCAAACCTATACAGAGATACAATAGTGAAAATAATGAATAAAATATAAAGTTTTTTCTAAAGAAAACATTTGATAATTATCTGGAGGTTATAAAGATTTCACATGTGAAATTTGAAAATCTCCTGATGCATAAAAGTATTTTTACTCCTAAAATCAAAATTTTGGACAGTGCAGTCAACATTCGAAAAGAAAAATGCATAAGCAAATCATTACTTAAAAGATCTTAAAACTTAATAACAAAATCTGATATTTTGTATACAAAAGCCTTGTAACATTTACTGATAATCCACACAATTTAGTGAAGATACCATTACTGTATTAAAAGTTATAGCATGAAAACTATAAAAAACACAAAATGGTTACGAGGTCAGTCTCTGGATCCAAGTCTGTACTGAGAGAGATAATGGACATGTACAGGCAAGGTTAGATTATCAAAAGCTTTTAGACATCTACAGAAAAATATCGACAACACATGTAAACACCAGACAGGACCAACTATAATATAATTAGTTATTTAACTAGAATTATCATATGGTCCTTTGTTGAATTATTGTCATTGCACTATACACTGTGTGTACTTTGTTTACTTGTACCAAAATTTCATGTTTCCATTTTTTACTTAGTTATAATGTTCCATAGTATCCAATATCCTGTGAACCTAATAAAACTGTTTGTTCTAATAAATATACTAGTTATTCAGCTCAAGAACTTAGCTGTTACACCTCTAACTATAAGGGAATTCAAAGCTATGTTACAGAGACGACACACAGTACACAAGCTGTGACATTCTGCTATGTTTAACTTCCTAAACTTTAATTATTTTGTCCTCCTTTAATCATTTAGTACACAATAATTAGATTAGTGGAAACCCAATTAACACCGGTTTTTAAAAAATATATGAGAAATAAACAATAATTTTATTTCTTCCCCATTTTTTTTTAACCTTAGCAAAAATAAATCAATAAAAAATAATCTTTACATCACTAGAAAGAATTAATATTTTCTTCAGCTTTTAAATGCTCAAGTAAATAAATCCCTGATAGGAAAAAAAAAAAGTTTAGACTTTCTATAACAGGTTTATATCAAGTCATATATTAATACGTCAAGCACAGATAGGGGCTGATTTGGAAAGGGGCAAATGAGTGCAATTGCTCTGGGCCCTCCAGATTGAAGGAGCCTCCCAACTCGGAGAAAAATGAAAAACAATCAAAAACAGGATGTCTCATTTAAAAGCATATTTTTAACTGTCACAATGACAACAGTGATTTTTCTTGTTTCCCATAAACCTATTATCTTCTAATTTCTCATTAATATTTGCTTGGCCATTTAACAAAAAAGTTGTCATTACTTCACATTTATTAATAATTTATGAATTCACATTAATTTATGTTTATTGTAGATATTAGAATTAGTACTTTTATTTTATATTAACTACCTGTCATTTGCATTCATGTATTGCTCAAAGTGTAATTAATAAATACTAATGAATTGTATTTGACTTATTTATGAAGGTCAGTTCTGCGGATCCCCCCTAGGCCTTCATCTGCCCTAAAGATAGATTTCCCATCACTAGACATACCTAAGACTTATGTGATTGTTTCCTGAAATACTGTTACTCAAGCAACACAGGGAACTGTTTAAAACATTTATTACTTACCTGGTAGGTGTCCAGCAGTTTGGTTGCTTGAGCACGCACAATTTTTTTCTGAACTCCAAGGGGAGCAACGGACGCTCCATTCTGGGAGGTTTGTTGACAGCCATAAGGATTACTTGTGGAAGGCACAATGTATGAATTAATACTAGTGCAATTATTTGGATCTCCCCCAGTGTTTACTCCAACTGCATTATGGTCAGCCAAAAGTCCACTTGTTGAAGTAATGTCACTAACTTGGTTTGCATTCCCATATTCTACACTACAAATACAATTATATACATATATATTAGAAAACATGTAATTATTCCATTCAAACATCCTTAAGACAAATACTTGAACAATAATCCTTCTTTGTGGTAACTGATACTTAATATTAGACTAGCAACTTCAAATAATGCTACTTAATATTAGGCTAGACTTCAAACAATGCTACATAATATTAGGCTAGCAACTTCAAACAATGCTACATAATATTAGGCTAGCAACTTCAAACAATGCTACATAATATTAGGCTAGCAACTTCAAACAATGCTATATAATATATATTTTTTCTTTAGAACTGGTTGATGTCAAATATTAGTATTTCCCCTACAAATAGCTTCATTACAATACCATACATAGTACTGTTACATTTTACAATTCTGAAGTAAAAGGCAGAATTTAAAACAATAAAAAATATGCATATAAAATAACTGGTTTAATACAGCACTAAAGATATCACTTTTTCCAAAGTAAAACATGACAACAAATACCTTAATTCTAAATGTAGTTAATTAATCAATATCTGTATCATTAAAAATTAGTAAAAGTAAAATTGGATCCAGAACAAATTGTGTAACATCAGATAACAAAAAGCCATTTAACTAAACTGTATTTGGAAGCTAAACACCTCAAGTATCAAACAAAAAGTTTATCACTTAAAGATCAACCATGTTTAAGATCCATATATACAATAACGACAATTTCCTAAGATCTTGATATCACAAAAACTTTCAGATTTTTTAATCAGCACTGGTATACACCATAATTTCCCCAAGTTAAAACTTTACAATACATGTTTAATACAAAGATTTAGATAACTATGTGTGCATGTGTGTGTGTGTATATATATATATATTAATTTTTTTTTAACTTATTGAACAGACAGGCCCAAACAAAAAACAAAATTGAAGATGCTGCATAGATTAAAAAGATCCCCAGGATACAGGCTATAATGTAGGGTATAAAATGTACCTTGGGTATATATATACATACAAACTTTGCAGACTACAGCTGATGATACACCTTTATGACTGTTACATTAAACACAGTAGTAGTGGTATTAGATTTCAATTATGTTTATATGAAATAATTAAGTCACTGAAAAGAAATATAATTTATTTTTTGCACTTAAAATTTGTCATATTTTGAAAACTTTAAGTACCAATACAGATGCTTAGTGACCAAAAAATGTTTATGTTCTGAACAATTTATTGAAAACACTAGAATACATAATAACTTTTGTTCATGATGCTGTTAACGCCTACATAACACAATACTCTTGTTACATTTGTGTCTTACTTGAAAGAGCTGGATAGGTAGAAGTTCTTATATCTCAAAAACATTCATAACAAAGTATGCTGTTCTTTAATATGCTGTACATATATGATAGATTAACACACGCTTGCTAGATTCTAATTGCACTCTCTTGTTAATACATGCGTAATGTTGATAACAAAAAAGTTGTTTTTTACTCACTGAGAGATGCTATATATACTTTTGTACGTATAAATACAGAGCAACATGTACTAGAGGTTGCTTATCTACAGGTAGATATTTACCTTTATAAAAGCATCTTGTTCTGATAAGTGCCAATTACTAGAACATTGTTGTCTGTTGATAAACCGTACAGCTGAAGAATAATAAATATGTAGGTATAATTTCAAGGCTGCTAAAATTGGATATTTACAATTCATAGGTTCTCACCAGAACAGGTCATCTAATCTCCTCTTCTTTGTCGTGGTACACACTAAGTTTTCGATATCTTTGTGTGATTTTATGTAATGCACTTTCTCAAGCATCCCCAGGCTCCACTACTGTAAAAAGAAAAATTACCAAAGCCATGAAGGGTCATATTTATCTTACACACGTTCATATTCTCAGTAAGCCAGCTTTCCTTTTATACAAGTACCTTATTAAACACAACTGTACTCTCTGTAATCTAGCTTTCCTTTTTTACAAGTACCTTATTAAACACCACCATACTCTCTGTAATCTAGCTTTCCTTCTGTTCAAGTACCTTATTAAACATATCCATACTCTCTGTGATCCAGCTATCATTTTGTTCAAGTACCTTATTAAACACAACCACTCTCTGTAATCTAGCTTTCCTTTTATAAAAGTACCTTATTAAACACATCCATACTCTCTGTGATCTAGCTTTCCTTTTGTTCAACTACCTCATTAAACACTTTCATACTCTCCGTGATCTAGCTTTCCTTTTGTTCAAGTACCTTATTAAACACATCCGTACTCTCTGTGATCTAGCTTTCCTTTTGTTCAAGTACCTTATTAAACACATCCGTACTCTCCGTGATCTAGCTTTCCTTTTGTTC